CTTTAGAATAGGTTATTTAACATCTAATACAATTTAATAGATCCTTGCTGGTTCCAAAAGGTATTGAAAGGGTAATATTCTCTATTCAGCAAGTTTTTAGAGAAATTTCAACAGAACTCTATTGGTTTCTCTTAAGTGCTGAAAGATTTTTTTCATGGGACTGGTAAAATGTTCTCAGGAATCTAATCCAGTGGTTCTCAAACTTTTTTCATGGACCACTTGAAAATTGATGAGGGACTCGGTAGCTCACTTAATGATCTTTCCTGTGGTAGCTCCCAAGTGGGGGTTGAAAGAAGTGGGGTCTCTCACTCTCTTCTGCTCTGACAGCCCTGGCTCTGGGGAAAGTCATCTTTTTCAGTACCAGCTCCAGCCCCGAACACCCTAAATTTCTCCACCATCTCATCACCCCAATGCTCTCTCCCACCTATCACCTGTTCTCTCCACCTCACCCCGGTGCCCTCTTCCACCTATGCCATATCTCACTGTGCAGCACCCATTTCAGTGGGTGGTAAAGATGTTAAAAAGCGGTTAATTAGGTAACTATCTAACCACTGAAAATCTCAGCACAGAGCCCATGGTGGTACAGAGGCAGCAGCACAAGGCTGCAGCTGGCTCTCTGGGAGCCGTTATCATAGCCAGTGAGCTTATGCTCATTGGTTAGCCATTTAAATGGCTGTAGTGTTGCATTCCTAGTGGGTGGCCTTTCATTCTGTTGCAGGTGGTTGCTTCCATGCACACCTGTAGAGGGAACTATCTGTGGACCACCTGAATGGATCTGCAGACCACTGTGTGAGATCCTCTGATCTAATCTGTTTTTAAAAAGTGTCCCTAAGGAATTAAAAAGCCATTGTTTACATGAGGCCGATACTCATTACAATGTTTACTGCTTCTTCTGTTTGCTCTGGAACTTTTTTTATGCACTAACACAAAAAGTCACATTCAGCATGGGAGTAAATGACAAATCTAGGCCTTCCGATTTTTTTACTAATTTTGAACATCCTGATTTTGATAGGTCCTGATTGATCTGATTTCTTTTTGTAGCTTTGCTGAGATAGGATCATGCATTATTACTGGGGCTGGGAATCCCCTGGACCTATAGACAGGATCGCTAAGACCACCAGAGGAGCACTGAAAGGCAAAAGGAATGTCTCTGGATTCCTCTCCACCAAATCATCTTGGGGCAGTATTGTGGAGAAAAACACACGTGAGAATATGGGATTGTTGGTAGGCTGGGAAAAAAACCACAGGAATCTGTGGCTGTTTGGGTGGAAAGTGATGAAGAAATTCCTCCCTCTCCTAGATTCCTGTGGAGTGAAAGGGCATGGCACATTTCCCATCCCTCAGCTGTTTGTCCTATATTTTTTTTCGGAGGAGGGGATTTCTTTCCCTCCCTTTTAGGCTGTTAGCAGGTTCCTATAGAGAGTGGCAGAGGTGTTCCTTCCCAGTCTCTCCAGGTCTGACCCATATGTTTGGGTTGTGGCTGGTGGATGACAGAGGAGTGTTTTTTTTCCCCCCTATTTTCCCCACATTTTTTATCATGGATTGAGACCATTCTCTCTCCTGTCTTCCCGTGGCATAGTGGAGCTGCTGATTGTGCCCCCTGGGGCTGAAGGAGTCTGTATCAGGTGGGGCTCTCTCGGGGGAAAAAAAGAGGCACCTAACTTTCCAAAATAACATTCATGTTCGTTAAAGCCCAAGACCGATCATTTACTCCCTAACCTTAATTTTATAAAAGAGGTAGCACTTTAATTGCCAAACACCATTTCAGGAGCTGGAGCCCTGCTCACACTGGGGCAAATTTTGTCTGGATTTATAGCCTACACAACATATAAAGGTCTCTAAAAGATGGATCCTTCAGCTTAATCAGTGTGTCCTACAAAAGTCAAACTCCTCTTGATTTCAGTGGGCTTCCACTTCAGTGCAGGAGTCTGGCTCGTGGATCTGTTAGCAGGATCTAGCCTGAAGTTGCAGAGAATATAATGGCAATGGCAAAATGACCTTCCTTGGATATTATTTACAACGTGACCCTGAGCTGACAAAAAGCACATGGCAGGAGTTCTTTTCTAGATACGAGTTTGTATTTGGCCTGAAATACATCAGAGAAGATGGAGTTCATTTTAATGTGTGTCTCTGTTTAAAATCTGGGCTTTGTGTTTAGGATGTCTTTTGTTAGGCAAGTCTGATAGACCATGTTCATGTATTAAACGTTTTATAAGAACCTAAATCAACTATGCTTATTGAAGGTGAAGAAGGATTAACACTGGAATCTTTAGTAGTAACCTCTTCTCTCCTCCCCATCCCTGTGATGGAAGAACTGGGGGTGTTAACAATACACATGAATTTAAATCACACTTTATTTGAAGGCTTTTTAGTAACCACTGTTATTACAGGTAGCATCTACGGTTATTGCAACTGAAAGAGAGTTGAGAAGTTTTTTTTTCCCCATTTGTTAATGTGCTTTTCAGCAGTTTATGTAGTCAGTTCCTCTAATTCCCCTGTTAGTTTAGTGGGCCACAGGATACTTGCAGGTGGTCTGCAGAAAGCAGGCTGCTCACAGGAGATTGGCTGTTCCCAGTTGCTGTGTTACATTAAAGACAACTAAAAATATATGAAAGATTTACAATTTTTTCCATATAAGCTGTTACTGTAGCTGCTACAGGAATGTTACGAGATTACAGAAGGGTTGTAGGTGGCCTTGTGGCTGTAGACACCCTGAAGCATTTGTGTGAGGGGCAATATAGACAATGTGATTTATAAAAACACAAAAATGGCAGGATAACTCTGGGGCAGATGTAGAACATGTGGTTTTGGTTAGATTTCAAGTTTTTTATTAGATTTCAAGTTGATGATTTCTCTCTAAATCTGAATACAAACATGCCATTTACTGCCCATATGCACAAACAAAATAAAACAAAACAAAACAAAAAACTCACCCAAAAACCTGCCCATTAAATGTGAAATCTGCACCACTTACACTTGGCCAAAAGTCAGGGTTATCACTGGCTAGCAAGAGAAGGGAAAGAAATAACAAAGGTTTTAATTGTATTTGGGCTGGGAGTATTAAGAAATTCTAGGGAGGGAAGGATTTTAAACCATTATCTTTCCTTTGTTCAACCAAGCTACATCTGAATTTGCTGAAATTCAGGAACTAGGCTGAGACGTGGAAAATTGGGATGTGATGTTATAGAATCACATCTAGGACATTTGCTCTGTTAGGGCCTACGGAAGAACCTCAGAATTATCAACTAACCGGGTTATAAACTGAACAGTCAACCACACTCATTATTTGGAACTGGAAATATGCAGCCAGGGTGCAGCAGACACACGCACAGAGCAAGCAAATACAATACAGTATTGTCTTAAATGTAAACTGCTAAAAAACATTTAAAGATTTGACAAGATAAGGAAATAGTTTGTGTTTGTTTCATTTACATTTTTCTTCTGCATAGTAAAGTTTAAAAAATGTATTAGGTCAGTGTTGTTGCAGAATTTTGAAAAACAACCATAATGTTTTGTTCAATTACGAACATTTCAGAGTTCCAAACAGCCTCCATTCCCAAAGTGTTTGTAGCTCTGTGGTTCTGTTTTATATGGATTTTATGAAGTAGGGGTAAATCTTACTGGGGATGGGTAAGAGCCAAAAGCATCATCAGATCTTACAGTTTAGTTTGGGGATTGAACTAAAATGCTTTTTTTCATTTTGATATTTTCTTTGGTTTAAGCATTTGTAGTATATGTGATTATTTTTTATTTTGGTCTTGACAAATGCATAGATGCGCCTTGAATAGAGATTATTGATTGGCTGTTTTGTTTACCCTGGACCACAATATTTACTTTGCTTAGCTTCTTGTATGAACCTCTTTAAAATTGTGTTTGTACCAAATGCCAGGCCCTCCTTTTTGCTCCGTCTATCCATTACTGTTAGTTTTCCAAACTTCTTGTTTAAGAAATACTGTTAGTAAGGCTTAGCTTCTCACTGTATTTCATTATCTGCATTTGAGGCCTGATATTCCTTCTGCAATGTTCCAATAATTCACCCCTGAAGTCTGATTCCCAAACACCAAAGAGTTAAATATGCAAGAACAAAGGAAGAGCTCTGTGTCTTATAAGCCTCCTTCCGCATAGCTGTATATTCACGAAACAAAGGGATTTCTGTAATAACTCATAAATCCATGAAGCAACTTTTCATGCGATGCAAATGCCTTCTTTTGGTTTTTGCTCCTGATTTATCCTATGGTTTATCTGTATTAAATTATCTTTAATTTGTTAACCTGGCTATAGTGAAATTCTTTTTTCTCCAATGTTTCTTTTGCTGTGCCTATAAAAAGCTGTAAACCCCATACTGATCTGTGCAGTTTCCTATATGTAATCTCTTTCAAGCTTACATTTTCATTTATCATGCTCTTTCCCCTTGAGAGAATTCTCAGTCAGTGTGCTAATTTACCTTCTCCTCTAGACTCTGCACCTCAGATGTTACCTCTGTTGCAAAGTATTGTTGAGGCACAGAGGATGAGTGAAAACTAATCAACAACTTCAGGATTTGACTCTTAAGATAAGAACACTGATCTTGTTCATCCAGGTTGGCCAAACAATATCATAACCCTTGTGGGCAACAACTGAGTTTTTATTTTGCATAAGAAAGATAGTTGCACTGATTAGTAAATATAATTCAAAGTCCTATACAGAGTGCCTCCCATCCCAAAAATTGCACAGCGCTTTAAAATAACTGATTCTATGTCCAAAACTTTGCTGATATATTCTAGCAAATTTTGTGCTTTATTGACCCATTAATTTGGCCTGTTTGATTTAGAGACAATTAATTTCCGCTTACATTCTTTGATATTTTTGATATCGCATGCACATATTTTACAAAGTTGTATGAGATGAAATATTGAGAGACTTTTGTTTTAAGCACTCATCTTCTCCTGTCTGATAGTCTACATCTAAATGTAGCTCCTCTTTGTGATATCCCACTTAGATTCCTGAGTTGTGACCTCAGGTGAATTCCTGTGATACTCAGATTCTATTTTCATGCAGATGTTGCCTTAGTAACAAAGGGAGAGGACAGAAAATATGACTGACAAACAGCAATTTTTCTATATAGGTGGTTTTTTTCAATGCCTCCAGGAACTATCACTGACTATGAACCCAAAACTTGGTAGACGAATACAAGGAAAAATATTTCAAGAAAGCTTAAGTTTCATGAGTGACATAGTTTTGTCTCATGATGACATAATGGAAATAATTTGATTTTGGAACATTGCTGCAGAAGTGACAAGAGCCTTTCTCTCCACTGAATGCTGCATGGGGGACTGAAGTGCCGGAAGAAGCTTATGCACTTAGTGCAAAGGTGAGAGTGACTTTGTTGGATATTGCTACATTTCTTCACATTCCTGCCTTTCTATCCTCTGGCCATTTTGTGCCATGAAAAGGAAAGTAAATGACATTGTTAGAGAAAAGGGAATTTCTTTCTATTCTTTTTCTTACTGCCTCAAGAGCAGAAAACTATGGAGATGTAGGAGGTTGAGTTTTCCTTAGCAAAGAATGAACATCCTCCCCCTCCTCTGTGATTACTGATGGAAGGCTTCTCAATTAATTTCCTTCACATCTTGGTTGTCTGGGATTTTATGTGAGATAAGTAGTAGGCTACTGTATATCTGTAAGGAAATTTCCTCTCCCAGCTTTCCCAAGACTACATCAGAAATACTGACTAAGGATTTACAGAATTAAAAACATAAGTCAAAAGAAGATTCTGTAGCATTTGGGTAAAAAGTGTCTTAATGCCATGTCATATTGTTCTGATGGGACTGTAAGAGTTAATGTTTGCAGGGAAAAGAAGAAAACAATGTCATCTAATACACTGATGGCAGGACCAGGAGACAGAGACTCCCCAGCTGTTTATCAGCTGTGCCAATGGTTCCAAGACTGGCACCAAGCGTACCATTTTGTGCCTCTTTGTATCTCATTATTCAACAAGTGTATGATGAGGCCACCACCACCTATCTCATTGGAGGATGCAAGTATGAATTAACTTAGTAAATATTCAGGAAGCACTTGCATTATTATCCAAACAAGTTAAAACTTGGGGCTTTTACAAGAGTTGTGAGAGCTGTCAATTGTTGGCCAGAATTTGCTTCCACTGAAGTCAGCAGAAGTTTTTATGTTGATTACAGTGGGAGTGGAATGAGCCCTGTGTCATGAGTGAGTTTGTGAATAGTTGATGACTGGTTACTGCACCTCATGCTAGTACGGTGGCATGGCATATTTGTCTATTTTTGGCATCTCTGAGAAGCCTATTACCCTCCTATCTAGGTGCTAGATGTAAAAATTAATGACTAAAATATTGGATTTGGCTGCAGTGTAGCCTATTAGTCTAGGTTCTGCTGCAAATACTCTTACTGCATTTTGTAGGTGTTAGTTATTATTTTAATTAGCTTTTCAGGGTTCATCATTGACCAGATGCTTTTTGGAAGAGGTGGGTTTCCCACAACGCTGTGAGAACAGTTGGATTTAATCTGCTTTTCTCTAGTAAGGAATTCAAGCTCAAGGATACTCTGGCCCTTGCTCAAAAGAGTTTAAGCCTGAACTGTCAGCTTTAGCATTCCTGTTGATCACAACTATCTAGGAGGGATGAAGAGGCATTTTTAAGATGTCCCTGTCGTGTTTCTAAAAAGGCTTTTAGAGATTATAGCCAGCACTCCCCGTATTATCCCAGTGGGGGTCTTGTGGAGGAATATTCCTCCCCACACACATATGGGGCCCTAACCAGTCAGTGTTCCCTCTACTTTTTATGCCCATGTGCGGGATGAATGTTATCTGCAACAATATGGTGGTGAGGTGTGCCAACAGCATCCATATTGGTGCATATCACAAAAGTCATTCTTCACATGGACAGTGTGTGGTAGCTGGGGAGGAGTTACAAGTGTGGGAGGGAGCACAAGGCTAGGGCAGAGGGTGGGGGAGGAGTGAGGGCTATGGCTGGAGGTGTGGACTCTAGGGTGAGGCCAGGCATGTAGAGTTTGGGGTGCAGGTCGGAGTTCAGGGTGCAGAAGGAAGGAGGGAGTCCTCCAGATGGGGGGGTGGGATCCAGAGTGGGGAAGGAATGAGAGTCTTGGGGGGGGGGGGGGCCGGCGGGCCCCGGGGAAA